GTGGCCCGCGGGGCAGCCGGCGAGGTCCCGGAGCACGGTCAGGTCTGCTAGCGAGCAGCGCGGTTCGGGTGTCAGCTGCAAGCGGAGGTGGCCGCGCCCACACAGCCGCTTCCCCGCCACCGATGTCTCTTAGTTGCCACTTTGCAAGGTATCCGGGCTTTTGAAAGGGTTTCGGGGAGAGTTGCGGACCAGTGAGTCCCACACACAGCTCGGAGCCTGCCCCGAGAAGCCAGCTTTCTCCCCAGACAGCCTCTGGGGTGGCCGGCGCGGGAGGCCGGCTTCCCTTCCCCGGCGGGAGGCGGGCAGGCTGAACCCAGACTCGGGCGCACGCGAGGCCCCCTGGACAGCTTCTCTAGGTGACCAAGTCTTGGGGTGGTGCGTCCGCGTTTCGAGCACCAGTGAGCGTTCCACGTGTTCCCCGTGCAGATCGCTTTCAGAGTGACGATCTCCGGACTTGGTAAAATGTGTAAAGGTCTAAGTCTAGTGAAAGGCCAAAGAGATCCGTAAATGCCATAGGTGCCGCTTACTTCTCTGTTTGAACGTGAGCCCTGGGGCCGACATATTTTCCTCAATTGCGGATTACTACCCTTTGAACGGCCAAGAGGCTGGGCGGAAATCGATGGTACTGTGCCTGTAAAGAGGAGGTGTACGGTCGGGGCCTGTGTTCCAGGAATCTTATTCAGCCCCCCTTGTGGGGCCAGAGCACATGGACAACTCGCCCTTCCGAGTACCTCGATTTCTGGCAAACAGCCCTGCAGAGAGAACAGGGAGTGAGTGCTTTGTTTTGCCATTGCTCTAGGTGTTAGGGTTCCTCTAGAGCCAAGGTCTGTTCCGTTTGACCCAAGAGAGATAAGCAAATAGCTTGGCATGTCAAGGCAGCAGCCAGAGTCTGGTTAAGGGCTGTGGAAACAGGAAACTTATTAACCTTTGGGTTTAGTCTCAGCCCCAGGGTAAACAAGTTCACGCTTTTGGTTTTTTTGTTTGTTTTTTGCCTTTTTGAGACAGGACCTTACTCTGCAGTTCAGGCTGGCCTTGAGCTCACTTTGTAGCTCATGCTGGTCTGGAACTCTCAGTGATCCTCCTGCCTCGGCCTCCCGAGTTCTGGGATTACAGGCGTGTGCCACCACACCCGGCTTGATTTTTAAAGTCTGGGAAAGGTGTGCTTCCGTTTTTTTCCTAGGAAATTACCATAAAATCGGATGTTATTTCGTGCTAATATAACAGATATAGTTGGAAAGATGGTAACTGCTGAAAAAGAAGGGAGTCCCAGAGTATAAGGAATTTTGTTTCATTTTCTCCTAACTGGAAATTACAAGACGCCCAAGTATCAAAGTTGGAGGTCAGGGTAGGTTTATAAAAGAGTTCTATTTAGACAGAATGTTCTAGATATTGCCCGAAGGCAGCTAGTAAATAGCCAAAATAATGGCCACTCTTCCAAAGACAAAACTTACAGTCTGGTATTAATATTGCTGTCACTTTTTTTTAAAACCAGGCGCAGTGGAGGTGAAGATGCTGATGAACATAAGGTATGGACCTATGAAAAACCTTGGGACTTGAGTTGATAGTAAATTGAATCCTGGCCAAAGATGAGAACTCTAACCTGATTGGATGTGCTCTGCTCTGATGGTTTAAAGGATTTACCTGAGGCCAGCTTGCTAGGCAGGAATTTTACTAACTTCACTCACCACCCCTCTTAAAGAGCTTTAGGCCAAAAGAGGCAAAAGCCTGTAGTAAATGGATCAATACTAAATTAAGCCAAGAGGAAGGATTTTGAGTATTTAAAAAATGTTACTGAGTTAGCAGTGGGTGAAACCAAAATCACTGTTTTTATTGTTACTTAGTAATTACTGATTTAATACTTACCTCCTGTGATACTTCCTTTTACAGGTCTGGTGCTTGAAAGAATTGGTGAAGCTCTTCAAGGAGATGAGGTATATTTGACTAGAGAGAGTAGAGACAAATTTTGCCCACCCTTTTTATTTTGGGAACGAGGGTGAATTTTGAGACAGGCCCAGTTACACATAGGAACATATATGAGAATTTTGTGCCTCTGCCCTTTAGCTCAATTGGCCTGGGAGAGACTAATTTCTGTGGAATTAAATACGAGTATCTAGTTTTGTTTTTTTTTAAACCACTAGCCCTAGTCTGAAACTATTTTGATTCATGTAATCTACAAAGGTGAGGGAGACTAATTCATTAGGTCAGGACATTTAAAACTAGGTATTTTGTAACTATTTAAAGTATCTTGCTTTTTTTTCAAGAGTATCTTGCTTTTTAAAAAACATGATCTTGTGTGTTTTGTGTGCAGTAGATCATTTTAGTGATTAGATTTTGTTCTTCAATTTTTTTTTCTTCTTTTTTTTTTTTTTTTTTTTTTTTTTTTTTGGTACCAAGAATTGAACTCAGGACCTTGTGTTTGCCAGGCAGGCGCTTATGCCCCTGAGCCATATCCCCAGCTCTCTAGATTTTGTTCTTTTGGCACCATGAATTGCTTCCAAGAAATCAGGAAAGGGTTGACTGCAGAGGCAAGAGGAGCTTTTTCTTTTTGTTAAATTGTTTTCTTTTCTGTTTGCTTAAATATTGTTCCACAATTGTTCTACTTGACTATAGTGGTGGTTACATGGTTATGTATTTGTCAAGTCTCACACTTGGTGGATTTTGCAGAATGTAAATTGATACTTCAATAAACACGGCTTTCCAAGCATCTTTCCTGGTGTCTTAATGATTTCTTTTTTTTTTTTTTTTTTTTTTTTTGAGACAGGGTCTTACTATGTAGTTCAGGCTGGCCATGAACTCCAGTGATCCTCCTGCCTCAGCCTCCCAAGAGCTGGAATTACCACCATGCTCTGGCAGCTATTGCGTTCAAAATTTACCTTTTGGATAGTTTAGGTATCAACACACATTGCTCTAACTACTAAACAGTTTGCCTATGACACAGGAATCTTCCCAGTCTGAAAGTTCATCCTAGTCACTGCAAGATACGAGAAAAAGGTGAAAATTTTGTCACTCTGTTAATACATACTGCTTTGGGTTCCTTGCAACCTTTCCATACTGCCAACTTCCATGCCAAGAAAATTCAACTTTGGCCAGAGCCAGCTAGCCAGGAAAGCAGGAGAAACGTTCTGGAAAGAGTAATCAGGGTTTGCTTTGATCTCAAAGCTTGATAGTATGCAAACCACACAGTTTATTCCTGTAAAAGGCTGGCTTAAGAACCTCTGAGCTCTGTCTTGCTCCCTGGGATAGATGATTGTGAGGGGGGTATTGATCAAGTATTGGTTGTGAGTCATTCTTTGCTGTAAGTATTCATTTAGCCAGAGAGCCTGTTGAGCCCTGGCCTGGTGGTCTAGGGTCCTGACTCAGTTGTGCCATCTTGCCCATACAAACAAAACCCTTCAGGTGCCCCTTGGGCCCCTTGCTGGGCCCTTCCTTCACCAGGTCCCCATCCCTATACCGTAGCAATCTAGAACTGAGCAGTATCTAGAGATCCAGCATCATCAGAGAAAGCAAGATGAGTAGTTGAAGTCACTACCACACTTCCATGGAACCAACCGAGCCTCCTTGGTACAGCACCTGCGTGATTGGTTAACAGGTAAAGCAGAAACCAGAAGGCGGGCACACAACTGTTAAAACCACCAGTGCATTCTTCTGTGCTCAGGTGTCCTGAAGAGAAGTGAAGCAAATGGGAAGTTGGTAAGTCAGAGGACTTAGGCCAAGTGAAAGATGGGCATGAAGAGAATCTCCATCACAACTGCAGAAGAAATTGTGGTTGGGGTAGTTTTTATGCTAGTGATTATGACTTCATGGGAAACAGTCTTATTTAAAGACTCCAGTAACTTCTCCAGATAATATGATGTAACTCGTCCGGTATAGTTACACTAATGTTTCAGTTCAGTAGACTCACACAATTTGATTTTAAGGATGGGCATGTCCCACTTTGTTAGAGTATTCACCATGTTCTTAAGCACTTGAGTACAAGTGGATTTTGTTTCCTAAAAATAAGCAAGTCTACTTAAAGTGAATGTTCCAGACTACACCATGTGTTTTTGGGGGTTTTTTGGGTTTTTTGGGTTTTTTTTGGTCTTTTTGAGTCTTGCTATGCAGTTCAGGCTGGCCCTGAGCTCACTTTGTAGCCCAGGCTGGTCTTCAACTCACAATGATCCTCCTGCCTCAGCCTCCCAAGTGCTGGGATTACAGATGTGTGCCACCACGCCTGGCTGGCTGTGTGTATTTTTAAAGACTTAAATATTTGATTGTATGATTTAGCAAATAATGTACAAATAATCTTAATTTAATGACGTACCTGTTTAATAACTATTCAGACGTAAGACCAAGGTGAGCTTTTCTAATTTAACAGCCCACAGCTCAGTTTACAACCTGTCCTTTTTTGGTACAGTTTTACATCCTGTTTATAGAGCCTCAGTGTCTTTTTTTGTACCATATACATTGTTGATACGTACTGCAATTTTTGCTGATTGTGCTGTATCCTGTAGTTTTATGTTACATTATAGTACTGCATATGAGTTACGCAAATAAGAGCAAAGTCATCAAGTTGTGGTTTCCTTTGACATTTCTTTGTTCTGAATAATGCACATACTATACACAGTTCCTCACTTAGCAACCTAGTTGCAGGAATGGAAACGGGTCGTTAAATGAGAGCTGTCTATATTTGCTGGCCTCCTTTATCTTAAATCCTGTAGTACAGATAATGCCTATCTTTGGGGGCTTACACAGTGACTTACGCTTCTTAAGATGGAACTGGTTCAGATAGGCCTCAGTTGACTTCAGCTTTTAAGAGATTTCACTTTGTGTCTGGGTCAGTATCTGAAAGATTGCAGTGTTGGTGCAAACTGTAAAGAAACTTGAATTTCCTTACATTCCCATCACCACCACATTCCTAAAAGAGTTTTGGGTGGTTTATAAACAACATCAAACAATACAGTATTAGAAGAATAAAACCAAGAAGAGAGCAGGAATATAAAAAGCCATCAGACTGCATGCTGTTGCTCTGGCCATTTTGGTTTTGGTTTTTCGGTTTTGGTTTTTCTCCGGTACCGGGAACCGAACTCACGACCTTGCGCTTGCGAGGCAGGCGCTTTTGCCGCTGAGCTAAATCCCCGGCTCCGCTCTGGCCATTTTGGTTCTGAGCTTTCTGAGAGCAAACAGCCAGCTGGTAAATTAGGAATCTGGCAGTTGAATATCGCTCACTTCAAAATGGAGAAGAGCGGTCATTTGCATTTGAAGCTTCCTAAAGCCAGATGCGAAGAAGCTTTTCTCCCCTCAGGTCTCAAATACTATGAAGAAGTTGAAACCAGGAGCTGTTGGATAATAAGGACGGACCAAGGAAAATGTGGCTCTAGAACACAGAGGTCAGTCGATTACCTGACCCCGTGGAGGTGGGGCCGGTCTGGTTGATGAGCAAACCAGAGGCAGGAGTGGCACTTCAGAGGAAAGCCGAGCTCAGATTTTGAACAGATAAGCAGCCACCGCTGTGTTTGAAAGGCTTATTTTTATTTTGTACTCATAAAGATCGCCTTTCCAACATCTGCCTCGTGTTTATAAACTGAAAGTTCCTGATTCCAATATTTTGTTATGAAATTGAATTATCACAGTCTGGGATTGTGCAACCACAAATAAACGGCCCCCTGGTGGAGCTGATCTAAACTGCAAGGGACTCATGGTCTTGGGAGCCTCGCGATGCTTCTGCGCCTCCAGGGCAGCTCCGCAGCCGCCTGTTTCAGAGATAAGAGAAAACGCAGTCAAATCTGTTACCTTCGTTTGTCTCTGGGAACAGGGCAGAATATTGGAGCTGATGGAACAGAGACCAGTGCCATTAATGTGCAAACGCCCTGGCCTGTGACCGGTGGTCTCCTAGGCGGAATGGAGCCTATCATATCACATAGAGGCCTCCCAGAGTGAAGAAATATATGGAACTTTGGGAATCATTCCAGAGTCTAAAACTGCACTCCAGTTTGCCAGCCGGCAGCCACATGTGGCTAGCGAGTATCTGAAATGTGGCTAGTTTAAGCTGACAGGTGCTGTTGGATAAAAACAAGTCACATGTGAGGAACGTGAAAAAATGTAAAAATACTAGTTTTATAATGATTGCAAGTTAAGTAATAATTGGATCCATCCAGTTGAATGAAACATACTTTTCTTTTCCAGGAACGAGAAACCAAACCAACAACCTGGCCTTGCAAGGCAAGCACCGGGCCGCCGAACCAAAACCCCAACCCCCGAAAAATACTTTTAAAATATTATTTGCATTATATTTCTATAGGAAAACACTGGCCTAAATAAAACATGAATCACAACAACCATAGAAATATGTAAATAGTGGCCCACAATGTATTAGAGAAGGAGATGTTACTTTTCTACTATGTAGAACCTTGAGGGAGAATGGAAGAGTAAAATTAGCATGTAAAATGTAGAATTTACAGGGAAGTAGCTAGTTTTTTCAGGAACAGAAGTTGCAGGGGTAGGGAGCCAGTACTACTGAGAAGATTTGACATAAATTTTCCTTTCATGCTGCTCACGTTTCTGGAGATTTTAAACAAAAGGTTTCAGAATGTATTTATTAAGCGTTCTTTTGTTCTATGCCTACTCTGCACAAACTTGTGCGCTTGTTAATCAAGGGCCAAAGGATGTGGTAGGAAACGTCTCCTCAAAATACAGCTTCTTCAGTAAGAATCCAGATGAATAGTTCTGGTCTTGCAATCTATTCTTCAGTTGGTTTGGTGTGTGTGTGTGTGTGTGTGTGTGTGTGTGTGTTAATGAAGTCTTTCAGGCTTTTGTATGGAAGGAGAGAGATTTGGTGGGGTAGGCAGCACCATAAATATCACCAAAACTTGTACAAGATTACTCTTTTTAAAAGCTACCTTCTGTTAAGCAAAATGTTCCACAGAATTCTCTCCTTCCCTGATTTTCCCTTCACTGTTTGCTCTGAAAAGTAGGTCTGTGTAAAAGCTTCATCTGTAGTTTTCCTGCTGGTATGTCACTTTGTTTTTGTTCTTGTTTTTGGTTTTTCCTGTAAGGTGCTGGGAATCAAATCCAGGGACTCACCATGCTAGACAAGTGCTCTACACTGAGCTATGCCACACCCTCTGTCATTTTGTTTTGTTTTTATTTTTGGTTTTGGTTTTTTTAGGCAGGGTCCCACTATGTAGTTCAGGGTGCCCTTGAACTTACTGTGTAGTCCAAGCTGGCGTCAAACTTGCTGCAATCTTCCTGCCTCAGCCTCCCAGGTGCTGGGATTACAGGTGTACGCCACCATGCCTCTGTGTCATTTTTTTTTGAACAGTAATTAAATTATTCATTTAGTTTTCACACTTCTTTTAAGCAGTGGTTCTTAACTGATAGGACACTTGGTGATGTCTGGAGACACTTGGTTAGCACAGCTGGGTGGGGGAGGGATGCTAACCAGCACTGAGTGGGTAAGACCAGAGATGCTATAAAATATCCTACAGTACACAGGATAACCCTACCACAAAAAGAATGGTGACTGAAAATGTCAACACTGCAGAGGGGGAGGAATGCCATCTTAGAAAATGTCATTTTCATCAACTGCTACCTGCCAGGTGCTCCTGAGTATGCTATAGGCCATGCCCAAATATGACTTTCCCTCACACAGAAAGGTTTTCTACATTATGAGGACTATGTCTGTCAGCTTTTGACTACTGTGACAAAGTACCTGAGAAAATCAACTTGAGCAGGAAAGGTTTATTTTGGTCCCTGGTTTTAGAGGTTTCAGTCCATTGTTGGCTGCCGGCATTGTTTCTGGGCCTGCACATCACAGCAGAAAGCTGCTCACCTTGTGGCAGCCAGAAGCAGAGAGCACGGGAAAGGCCGGTGAGGAAGGGGTCAGGGACCATTCATAGTCCCCAAGGTCACTTCCCCATGACCCCCATCCTAAATTTCTGTTACCTACCAGCAATGTCATCACACTATCTCCTCAACAGATTAATCCACTGATGAAGTCAGCCCTCATGACCCAATCGCCTGCCAAAGGCTTTACCCTCTGAGCACAAGACAGTGGGGACATTGTAGAGCTAAACCAGTGATGGTGAACCTTTCAGAGCTGCGTGCCCAAACCACAACCCCACCTCTACGCTTATTTATCACAAAGTGCCAACGCTGCAATTAAACCTGAACACTGAGGTTTTAGTTTAGGAAAAACACGTTAACATACGTTAACATCTTTTGTCTTAATAGAACAACAATACACATGCCATAGGTTCGCCACCACTGACATAACAGGACTTTAACGCTAACCCCATTGTTTTCATTTCTGGACAAAACTTAGAGCTCTTATAAAATAATGGGGCTTCTTCTAGCTTACCCACAAAGCTAGTTTTAGTGTTGACTGCTTGCTCATAAGTGTCCAGAAGCTCCCCATTTGCTCATCACCAACTAGTGCTGCTCTTCATCAAGCTTGTCCTGGCTTCATCTCTGAGGCCTGTACATCACAACTCAGCCAAGAGGGCTGTGGGCGTCCCTGGCCTGGCCCCAGACACCACAAACCACACAAAGATTTCCTCATGATCTGTTTCTCCAATAGCTTCAGTCCTCAGTGGGGACACTTAGCTCAACCAAAGAACATTCACAAACCAGCAGAACAACAATGAAAAAATCCATCCAAAGAATTGATACCAAACATAGCTATGTTCTACCTCTCTAATTTTAATGTTGACTAGAATACCCAAATTATAGAGCCTGACAAACAATCAGAATATGGAAATACTGCATTTGCTTTAAGATTTTGGCAAAGTTAAAACTAGCCCCTCCAGGTCACCTGGGGAGGAGTCTCTCTGGCTTCAGTTAATGGGTGAACCTTTCACACGCCAGATAGTTCCGCCAGGACAGACACACTTAAGCAGTAACTGTTGGCAAAAGTGGTGACACATCTGTTCTCAAACGTAGCGAAGACGCGAGGTAGCACACTAGTGAGGAAGGGAAGCAAGTCACTAGAGCTCTGAGGAGCACTGCCTACCTCTCGGGTTAAAGGTGACCAGGTGCCCTTTTTCATCGTCTCATCACATGGGTGTTTTTAATCTTACATTTTCTTGCATAAAAAAAATACAGCATGTGCCCCATGGTTACAAACAGTATGGAAATGAAGACCAGTAGGCCAAACTGCTGCGGCCGCGGGGCCAGCATGACGAGGACGAAGTGGATGAGGTCCATGAGGTAGTTCAGGGAGCACTGCACACCATTGACGGCCCCTCGCTCCGCTTCTGGAATGTTCTCTTGGAGAAGCTGGGTCACAGTGAGGTCAAAGGACCAGAGGCCTGTGGGGGCAGCAATGTAAGGGGAGAGTAAACACGAACAGATGTCAGAGAACCTCAGTGAGATTTGGCCTGTGGCACTGACTAGCATTGGTCCCTAGGGTAGATGCAACTACCTGCTCCTTAGTTTCCTCATCCAGGAAATGGGGACGTTTCAAACAACTAGCACACTGGGAATTCCTTGAGACAGCACAGTAACATGTGTAGCAGTGTGCTGGCCATCTGTGCATGGTGGTGTCATAATTTGTGGTTCTTTAATTATCCTTTCAAATAACCACCACAAACAGATGCATACAACTTCATTGTAGATGTATTTATGTATGCTCCCATTTCCTTGCAAAACATGTTTGGGACAGAGAGCCCAGTCTTGGGCCTCAAATCTACTTGCAATTCTGGATTTTTTCCTCTCGGGTCCCGGCTTAGGAGAAGAGGAACTGGGCTCCTCTCCGCCCCTGCATTCAGCCACCTAAAGAGGCCGCATTTGAATGAACTTCAGAAGCAGCCTTGGCACATGCTGCGCAGGCATCAAACAGGGCAGAAACCAGCTGTGCAGATGGCAGTGCCGTCCTTGAGTGTGAACATCAGCCTGAGGGTCTGGTAGCTGCCCTCAAGGGGACCTGCACCCGGCTTTGCCTGCCTGGTTGGCTTCACAGCTGGTCTTCTGGATTCTCCTCGGGATTTAGCACTGGCTCTGCAGAGGTCTCCTGGTTGCTTCTGTATCGATCCCTGGGCTTAGCTCTGGGCTCCGGAATTATTTGGAGATAATGTGCTATGTCCCCAGTGTCTACCTTTACAGAGCACCAGTGAATCCTTTGTCTCCTGGGCTTCCCTGGCCACCCCGCTGCAGCCTCTACCCAGCCGTGACAGGGCCCCTGTCTTCCTGGGCCGTTCTGACCACCCCAGGCTTCTGAGAACCTCACTCTGCACTGGACTCAGACCCACAACTCACCTGTGGAATCCCCACCCCGGCCCTCAGCAAGCAGCACTCACCAAGCCGGCAAGTATCTGAAAGAGGCTGCCTTGGCGCAGTGTGAGGGCTCATTGTCACTGAGAACTATTGCTAAGCTGAGGGCATGAAGAGTTACACTTCGGAGATTTCTACAGAGCGAAGTGACTTGTAAGCTATGCACCACATCTTATAGGCAGAGTTCTGTAAGTTAGCCTCCACTAGAGTGGAAGCAAGTATTTACTCAGTGAATGTCGAGGAGGAGCCCTGTGCTTGGTGAAAGGCCTTGGCATCGAGGAAGATTACAGGCCTCGGGTCCCAGTGCCAGGGCCGGTCGTCATGGCCACCAGGCCTGACCGCACTGACCAGCTGGCAGGCAAGGTGCATCCTTCCGGGCAGTGGTGACTTTAAGGCGTGCGGCGGCAGTACCACACCACCAACCCCAAGGGCGTTTGTACTCCCGAAAGGAATAAGTATAAATGGAGTCAGAAGGATCGGCACTTAGCACGTGGTTCCCCGTGTCACTGCCCACCCCAGCCACACTGGACAAGGCACCAAAATTAGTTAAAATATAATAATGATGATGACTGAAGGTGAGACCTACTTTTCCTCCCTCCCTCCTTTCTTTTCTTCTTTCTCTCTTTCTTTGCTTCCCCTACTCCTTCTTTGTGGTACTGGGAATTGAATCCACTGAGCTGCATCCCCAGAACTTTAATTTTTTTTTTTTTTAATTTTGAGTTTTAAAAAAAATTGGAGAGAGTCTTGCTGAGTTTTCCATGCTGGTCTTGATCTTGTGATCTTCCTGCCTCAGTCTCCCAAGTAGCTGTGCACTACCACCATGCCCAGGATATATTCATTGTTAACATGTAGCCACTGTAGTTGTGAGAGTTTTGTGCCAAACCTTTACCTACAGGAATTATTTCAGCACCTCTGAGACATACTCCGAGAGGGACTGTTAGTGTTTACCACACAGACTGGAAAACCATCACGTAGGGGTCTTGCCAACATCACCAGGCAGCCTGGCTCAGGCCCTGAGCTGTGTCCCTCCTGAGTGTCACGAGAGCTCTGCAAGCCTGGGATCTTCATCCAAGATACAGGCCAGAGGCTACCATAACTGTTGCAGAGGAAAGGTTATGTTTCCCTTGTTCTGAGCCAAGGCCCTGCTGACTTTTCTTTTTTTTTTTTTTTGTTTTGTTTTGTTTTTCTCCAGTACCGGGAACCGAACTCACGACCTTGCGCTTGCAGGCAGGCACTTTGCCGCTGAGCTAAATCCCCAGCCCCCCTGCTGACTTTTCTAAAAGTATTCATTTCCTTTGTGTCAGGAAGCCCAGTGATCCTGGCAGACAGGAGTCACTAATGGATTTGTTTTTCCTTTTGAACTAAACACTTAGTATAATATGAACTGCAGAAGTCTTAAATGGCCCATCTACTCTTAGTTGTTTGTGTGATGAAAGGGCAGAAGTACAAGTCAAATACCAAATAACGACAGTCTACTCATCAGGTACCACGCTTAAGAATATTTTAATCTGGGTATAGTGGCATATACTTGTAATCCCAGCATTTAGGAGGCTGAGGCAAGAGGATCACCACAAGTTCAGTGCCAATCTGGGTTGCATAGTGAATTCAAGGCCAGTCTGAACTACATAGCAAGAATCTATCTCAGAAAAACCAAACAATTAGAGGTCAGGTAATCCCTAGGTGAACGAATGGCTTCTAGATGTGTTAATGGGAACTAGGAACTTGGTGTCTTTCTCATATATGCTCATTAAATCAGAGGAATGAGGTTCCAAGGTGAGCAGATGGTTTTGTAACCTTGAACTGCCCTTCAGCATTCTCATTTCCTCTCTCCCAAGCTCCCATAAGCCAAAGGGTTCTAGGTCTCCCTGGCAGAAGTCAGGAACAAATCCTCCAAATCCCAGTCTGCCCCGCTGTGGCCTCTGAGGCCCGGAGCAAGGCGCCCGCTTGGCTCTGCCGCGGGAGTGGTGAGTGCGGTGCACAGAGGAGGGGGTGGAGAAGGCTGTGAAGGAATCGGGGGGCACACTTGGTTTTCACCCGAACCTTCCACCCCTGCTCCCTACTTTCTACAGCCCCGAAAGAGGTGCTGGGGGCTTCTGAGCTGTGCTGCCAGGGAGGGCTGTGAAGGCGGTGACTTTGAATGCAGGGGGAAATAGATGGTCCTTTCTGAGTGGAAACCCAATATTGGGGATGATGTGTCAGACAGCAAGACCCAGACTCTCCCAGCTGGGCCTCTGCAGGTCTGACTGATCACAAGACCCAGTGTGTGGTGAGTGGCTTCTGCTACCATCATCACTGATCCCCAGTATGCCATTGTTGGGGTTGCCAGGCAACAAATAAGCACAATTTTTGAAATTTCGTTTCAATAAGTGCCCTAACCAAGGCAGGTACATTCTCACTGTTAGATATGAATGCCATCATTGTTGACAGAATTTAAAAACCAGGAACCTGGGGCAGGAAAGATTGTAGACCCTCAAGATTAGGCACCCTGTCTTTGGAGAAAGACTGCACTGCCCTCCCCAGGCAGCTAATGAAAGCCTCCCACCCACGAAGTTGTTCCACAGGTCAAAGTCCTCCATTCATGTAGACGCCCTCTGTAGCGGCAACGTGCTTGACCTGGTATTTTCATTTCCCCAGATCTCCTCCAAGTTTTCACCTTTCATTCTTGTCTTTGCCCCACCACCCACCTGCCTAGAGCAGTCATCCCTCTCTCTTCCCTTCGGAGATCTTTAACTGTGCCTTCCCATAGAATGCCCGACCTGGTGTCCCTCCTTCATATTCTCAATCCATCCATTTTTCCCTGACATGGCTCCTCTCAGCTATCTTGCTGACCATTGTTGACTGCTTACTTATTGGACTCCCACCCAGGTTGTCAACACCATGGGACTAAGACCTCATATAATTAAATCACTCTTGGACTACATAAAGTCTCACTGGGCCAAGTGCAGTGGCACATGACTGTAATCCCAGCACCCTGGAAGCCTAAGGCAGAAGGATCATAAGTTCCAGTACAGCCTGGGCAACTTCATGACTTATGAAAGTCTGTCTCAAAATTTAAAAAAATAAAATAAAGAACGCTGGGGGTGTGATTCAGTTCAAAGTCCCTGGGTTCAATCCCCAGTACCACAAAGGAGTGGAGGGAAGAAAGGCAAGGAAAAGAGGAAGAAAGAGGAAGAAGAGAAACTGGTCTTATTCTCAGTGATCAAGTAATGAAACTTACAGTGGCACAGTAGTGAGACCACCAAATGCTTCTACGATCACTTGGCCACACCTCGGGCCTCAGAATCCCACCCAAACATCACCCACTGCTCACCGATTCTTGCGAGAATCACACCCGAGAAGAGCAAGATGATGGAGATGTAAGACTCAGGCTGCTCAGGGTCCTACTGGCTGTCAAACAGAACGGTGCTGTTGGTCCAGTGGATAGAAGAACGGTCCAGGAGGATGGGCTGGTTCAGGTTTCTTTCAAAGGGGTAAATGTGTTCCTGGTCCTTTTTTAGCAACTTATGGTTTGAAGAATTCTTGTTTGATGGACGTGAGAAGACAGCCATATCAAAAGGACTTCCAGGAGCAAAGACAGAAAACACACAGAGCATCAGACAACCTACATGGAGCCAACTGGATACGACTCCAGTGGTGACCAAGCCATAACGCCCCCTGAGCCAGGTGAAGAGAATAGTTCCCACCAGGCCCGACAGAGCTGAAAGGGCCGTGAGGATGCTAAGCAGGGACCCTCCGATCCCTTGGGTGTAGGCGTAGCCGGTGGTGATGCAGTCGAACCCCAGGACTGTCATGTAGAGGAAGGCCAAGCCCAGCCCGGCCAGGAACACGGTCTGCCTGCAGTACATCTCCCAGCCCTCGCGGCACGTGCGGAGCAGCCACCCCATGCTTTGAGGGCAAAGAAGAATCCTTTTGGCTGTGGTCTGTTTTCTTTCAAGGTTAAACTCTTGGTCCTTTGGTTTTTCCAAAGTTCTGGTTTTGCTGATGAATGTATCAGGGTTTTCCCAAGGGTCCATTTCATCTTAAGTAAAATCCAGATAAGGTGAAAGTCAGTATCATGCCCCTGTCCCCTCAGCCCATCCAATGCATCTGCTTTTCTGGTGGATGGTTCCAGTGGATACTGGGGGCCTCCTGTCCCAAAGCACCTGTGTCTCTGCCTGCAGATTTGTCTCTGCCGGTCTATCTCTCTTCCTCCTCCTCCTCCCCTTGGAACATGAGTGGCAGACAGGCTGTAAGTGCCTTTGGGGAGAGTTTGCAGCCAATGAGGGACAAGACTTGGTAGCTGAACACCACAGCTTCCTTGGTCCTTGCTGGGACAATTATGAGGCACTTCTGTAGTCTTTCAGGGGGTCCCCACGTGTTTCTGCAGTCACTCATATAGTATTAACGCTCCTTTTATGAGCTTTTGTCCTTCTCTGCCTTCCTTTCCTTTCCCTTACCAAGGGATCACATTCCAGATGATTCCAAACAAGATACTTTTCATCCCAAACCCTGTCTCAAGAAGTGCTCTTGAGAAAATTCAAATCAAGACACACCATTAGGTCAGGAAGGCTGCATCAGAAAGGAAAAGGTGGGAACAGGGAAGCAGGGGAGACAAGAGTTTCAAAGGCTTGAAACTTGGTAATGAGTTCCCGGAAATAAGCACAGAGACTTCCTCTGGCTATTTTTCTGAAGAAACAGATACTGGGGGGGGGGGGCATAAATTGAAGCCTTTTAGTTTTCCAGGATATATCAGACAATGGTTATAAACAGATTAAAAAAACATACAACTATTTGTGAGAGGTGTTCAGCACAAATTAAGTTCTGTGAAGGACTTGAGGAGCTAAATATGGCTTTGAAGGAAAGACAGAGAGACAGGTGAATTATATCCATTTTAGACCCAGAATGTGGGAAGGTGAGGGTCTACATGATAGAAATGAATTTCGTGTCAGGGCAACTTCAAAAAAAATGATTAAAAAATAACAACAACAATGAAAAGATAGTGAACATTGATTAAAGTTTTCCTCTATCCAAGAGAATGAAATACAGCTTCGTGTAGACTCCTGTTTAATTGTCACAACATGCCTATGAAATCGGCTCCATTGTTATCCTTACCTTACAGATAGGAAGACAGAGAACAGGGATAAATTAGCCCTGCAAGGTCACACAGGTAATACATGGCAGATGTGAAGGATAAAGTTCTATGTATCTACCTACTCATGTATCCATCCATGCATCATCTAAATATGTATACCAAGCTGTCTTTACAAAATACGTATTTTATTCATCCAACAGGATCTGGTGGGACTTCATTCTAAAACAACTTCAGAAAAAATGTATGAACTAATTATAAGTCTAGAAAGAGAAGCTGAGATAAGGAGTAATTACTCAACTGCATGGCTCTCATTTGAAAGAGAAGGGTCACACATATTGGCAGGTCTCCCTTCCTTTCGTACCCACCATACTGTTAGGGAATTTTCCAATTTTAAAAAAAGGAAAAGCACTGTTGACAGCAGAATGGGCAATTCATCATATCCTAACCAAAGAGCGGGCCACACTCCTCAACACACTTGCCCTCTTAATAAAGTATCTTTGGGGGGCTGGGGATTTAGCTCAGCGGCAAAGAGCCTGCCTGGCAAGCGCAAGGTCGTGAGTTCGGTTCCCGGTACCGGAGAAAAACCAAAACCAAACAAACAAACAAATAAAGTATATTTGGGGACAATGTTCATGAGTGAGACAGGAAAGACAAATTTGCCCTCCCTGAGGGTCCTTGGGTAAGTTGTGGAGATTATATACTACACAGTCCCACATGGGTGCTACTTACGTTGGAGTCTCTCTGAATGGAACCCCCAGAGTTATGCAGTGCATAACCTGTGTAACTGTACAAAGCAGCCCACCTGCTCTCACCAATAAGGTCAGCCATATAAAGTGCATGAGCAATGGCACACCTGCAGCCTTCTCATTTACCACTGTTTCCAGGCACATTTATAGGCAGCGTGTTAAGATCATGATTAGACACAAGTTCCGGAAAGAAGAAATGAAACACTAACATAAAGGAGCAAAAAAGAACAAAGGTCTCTCTGAGTTTGCATTACCTTGGATGTTCACAGCCTCCTGTTGCCTTTCTAGGAAGTGCCCCCCTGTTTGCTGCTGGGCTTTTACAGCCAATTGGGGAACTAGTTGATAAACCCTGGACAGAAATAGAAACTCTACAAGAAGTGAAACCAAGTTCCATCCAAGAATGAAACCACAACCGATCACATGAGATGCCCATGTCATCACCTGGCCCACGGACAGGGGAGCAAATATATTGATGACCTGGTCCAGCCGCCGGACTGTTGCATTCATCCCTGGAAGTGGGAGGAAGGAAACATTGCAACTCAGTGGATAAGACCATCTCCCGTTGAATTTCCCATCATGCACTTGCTGGGGTTGCCAGCCATGCCCCTGACTGACAGGGAAGATCCTTTCTAGTTGAACTAGAGATTAAAAGTAGGATTTTCAACCTGAAAAAACTTCAAGGTCTTTTCTGCTGGAACTCGAACAATTAATGGATTTGTATACTGGGAGACTAGGCGACTTGGATCTGACTATTCTAACTCCCATCTCAGTACTCTTTCCCATCACACCCCACTCTCCTAACAATACCAACAATATTCACCTGGGCATGGTGGTACAATGCCTGTAATCCCAACACTGTGGGAGGCTGAGGCAGGATGATCGTAAGTTAAAGTGCAACCTGGCCACCTCAGTGACTTATGGAGATTCTGTGTCAAATTTTTAAAAAAGAGCTATGGAAAGGCTCTGGAATCAATAATAATAATAGTAATAATAATAATAACTTTTAGACCCCTATGAAAACTGACATGTGACAGAGGAAGGAGGTGACAGGGGAGGGCAGAGGAAAGAACGAATACTTACTCCATGCCAGGCCCATAGTTCCAAGCCTTCTACCTATGTTCATCTTACTTAATCCTCAAAACAGTTCCTAGAGGTTAATAGTATATTTCCCTTTGGAAAATTAGGAAACTGAGGCACACAGAGGTGAACATATTTGCTCAAAATAGAAGAAAAGGAAAATGGTAGATCTGAGTCTCAAACCTACACAATCTAAAGCCAGAGTGGTGGTACACGCTCATAATCCCAGCACTCTGGGAGGCTGAGGCAGCAAGACTGGAAGTTCAAGCCCAATCTGGGCAATTTAGGGAATTAGTGAGACCCTGTCTCAAAATTTTAAAAAGGGCTGGGCCTGGAGCTCAGTGTGAAGGCCCTGGGTCCCATCCCCAGTCCCGCCCCCAGCCCCTAAACAGACAAATCTTGACTCCAAAGCTTATTCTCTGAACTCCTAAACCATCATTGAAAAATAGATTCACTAAGTCATTTAAGAAACTGTAATGAGCCTGAACCACAATCTGTGCTTTATCTTGGATTTCTTTAAAATCAATGAACAGAGAATGGGAAGTTTATCTATCCGAACACGATGTCGCCCAGCGTTTACTCACACAGCTGTTCCATTTTGGGTGGTGCTATTTAGTCACAGTACGTCTAAATAAGTGCTATTTAAAAAGGAAAACGTGATTATAAGGGGCTTCTCCTCTTTGGAAGGCAGATATTTGAGCAGACTCCTCCTTAACAGCTTCCTTTCTCCCTGCCGTCAACACTCATGCGCATCTCCTAGCAGAGAGCGCCCAGTGCACAAGCACAGGACAGGACTAGACGTTTGCTTGACATTGGCAGTTTGAATATCCTGCAGTGTGGACCATCCTCGTTTTCTACATAGATGCAAAACACAAAGTTGTCAGGTTATTCCACTGGGCGTCTCTATTGGGAAAAAAATTGGGGGCAGAAGCAGTTTTTTTCTGGGAGAATGGAAGGTTATCACCGGCCAGAATTAAGAAGTCTTTTAGTTCACTTATTTTCCAGGTCTAAAATTGTCAAGGAACTTCTGCAAATGGAAAGTTCCTCTCCTGAAAGTGCAGACTATGTACGCTTCCGCTTCCCCGGTAGCAAAGGCAACCATTTCTTAGGCCCTTCTGTGTGCAGACACAGTGTTAAGCGCTTTACAAATCCTGTATCTCATAGGATCCTTCCCCACACTGAGCTCTGTGTGTGTGTGTGTGTGTGTGTGTGTGTGTGTGTATTTCCCTCGTTCACCGGTTAAGGAAAATCAAGTCCTGACAGGTTAGGTAACTCATCCCAGGGAACACAGCTGGTGAAAAGCATAGCTGAATTGAATTCAAACCCAAACCCGGTTGGCTGCAAATAACCATTCTCTTACAGCATGTGACACTACCTCCCTCAGAGCTCTGAATGGCCTTCCACAGCCACTGTCTCCTTCTCAACTGACCAGAGGCCCTGGGCCGCACTGCTCACCAGCCAGCTGGCCTCTGTTGTCCCCTGTGATGCTCACAATCCAGTCCCTCTGAATGGTGATGGTCAGCGCTGTGCCCGCCAGGTTCGCCACGGCCGCCAGGGTGATGACCGCTGTGTAGCAGGCCACCTACCAAAGGAAGCAGACTGTGCAGCCCAAAACAGACCTTTCTGTACCCCAGTGGCACACACAGTTATTTATCTGGCAGAGGGAGAGAAGAGAAAACTCAGTGAAGTCTGGAACCGATGTGCTAATGCTAAGCACTTCCTTCCTCTCACTCCATTATACCAGATCTGATGCTAACTTGTACCTTACAGACCGACTCAGCCGTTCTGTTGCCTCCTTGTCTGTGGGGTTTGGGGTCAGATTCACAAATCTAGGGTGAGGAAGGCACTGGCAAATGATCAGGCAGGGACCAAGTGGGGGCCATCCCAAGGTGAGCACCCCCCAAGCCATTCTGGCCGTCATGGCATGAGACAGAAGGGACACTCACCGTGAACCAGCCATGCCACATTCGGTCCATGTCCCTTCTATAGGAGAACACGAGCATCAGGACCACGCAGCAGGCGGTGACAGAGCCATTCTGGATGAACAGCGCCGCGTGAGCCACTGCAGATGGAAATGGTCGGGGGTCTCAGATTTACTCTTGGCTTTAAGAGCAGGTCACAGCCACATTGTCGCTCAGCGCAGAGCTCCTGCATTTGACCAAATCCCCATGTTGCCCAGCCAACCGGCTTGTCTTTTCCATCAGCATTACAGGCTTCAGTAGGAAGCAAAGAGCAGCTCAGGGCTCACTACGGACGAAGACTTTACAACCAAGAGACAAGAAAAGCTGGACTTGGCAAAGGAAGGAAAGCAGACTCCAAGAGTAGCCTGATATGAAAAGCCTACTCCAGCTGAACTAAGGAACTTGACACCCTTCACCGCTATATCTGATTCTCCTGGATTGAATTTGTGGTGGAATACATCAACGGATCCTAAGCGACAACATTCCAGAGTTTTGTTTTCTTTGAGATAGTGTCTTACTATGTAGCTCAAGTTGGCCTTGAATCCCCTCACCCACCCAACCCCAACCAGGGTTGGAAGTATAGGAATGTGGCACTAATCCTAGCTCCCTATTTTAAATAAATTGGACTTTTCTATGACATTGCTTCAGCCAATGCCTTTCCCAGGTATCCAGGTGAAATAAAAACAATCTTGTTGACTAGAAATCAAAAGGACAGGACAACGGAGGAAATCCCACATTTTTATTGGACAAAGGCGGTGTACAAAGATACTATAGCCAAAAGCTAAAAGGAGATCTATCTACCTTTCAATAAATAAGCCTTCAGATTTTAATGTCTAATATTTGGGATACCAGATACAAAATCTTTCGGGGGGGGGTGTTACAAAATCTTTTACACGCAGAAATTGTTATTAAAATGCATAATACAAATGTTATTATCCATGAGTAACACTGGAATATTAAAAAGACAGCATGTTTTTCAGGAATTTATTTATTTATTTATTTATATCTTTTTGAGACAGGATCTCGCTATGCAGCTCAGACTAGCCTTGAGCTCACTTTGTAGCCTAGGCTGGCCTCAAACTCACAACGATCCTCCTGCCTCAGCCTCCCAAGTGCTGGGATTACAGGCGTGAGCCACCACACCTGGCATTTTTCAGGAATTTCACATGAAAAACTTGTACTTAGAATCCAAAATCTCATTAAAGGGCTGAGTGTGTAGCTCTGAACACTTATGGAGCACATATGAGGTTCTGTGTTTAACCCTTCACACGGCAAAAAATAAAATAAGTAAAAACCATATTAAAGTGTTTTAAATATAATACAAGAGAATGACACAACTCTTTTTCTAGAGTTTTCAAATTATGCTGTATGGCAATTTAGCTCAGATTTGTAATTGCATTTCACTAAACACACCAAAAAAGCCAGTGCAGTCACAGTATACCACATCATCATACACATCATAAGTAAGACTGTTACCTTGGTTTCTTGGTTTCCTGTCGATCCAATCTCCAATTAAGACCCCAAATATTAATACAGATCCAGCCACTACTAAGCCGAACACCGCTGTTAGAAGAAGATTATGTCCATATAATTCTATCAGAAACACAGACATAGCAAAGTGCCACATTCGGTCTCCCTGCAAGGCAGCAGAGGCAAAGCATGCTTTAATCACTGACTAACAGATAGGGTAAGGTTAAAATCCAGAAAGATGCAGTTGTTCCAAAGGACATGTAATACGTATAGTTTAGAAACAATGTCAGAATGATACTTCTATGCAGTACAACTATAACTTAATATACAATTTACTCAGAACTTTAAAACGCTGCAATATTTGCTAAAATCTTAAAAGCATCAAAGAGCCAATAAATTAATGAGAAAATATCAAACAAACAACTTGGGAAAAGATGAGAACCCTAAGAAGTAGAAACAGGATACCCTGAGGATATTTTCTGATCAAAGGCAATATTTGTGAAACAGAACTGCAGCTTTGGTGGCCTCAGGAAATCAGATGAAAGAAGTCCATTCTACTAAAGATAAGGACTAGCTTTAAACTGAGATTCCATGGAAACCGGAAGTAAGCCAGCCCCGGTTTAGGCTTGTAACTCCAGATGGTTCAGGAAATCCTAAACACCTCGCATGGGCTAGTTAAGTCCCTGTGCTGACCAGCATTATCATTTCCATCAACAAGTACAGGCTTAAATTAGAGTCAAATGCATCTGAGAGAAGGCAATTAAAATCCTCTCCAAAAGAAGAGGCTATCACCGTAGACGTCTAAGGACTCCTGCAATAACTTTTAAGTATAATGCTCAGCATACCAGTCTCATAAGGAAATAGAGCACCAAGAGCATAATCTACAATAAATAAAAAATAGTAGAGACAGACCTACAGAGACTTCAGATACTGAGTTCATCAGATTCAGGCTGTAAAATAGGAAAAATGGTTACTATACCCAAAGGCAATCTGAACAGGGATGGAGAACAGTAGAGTGGCCTGGGCAGGTTGTTTGTTGTTGTTGTTAAGTCCCAGGGAAGGAACAATTAGGATGATGGAAAGGAGCAAAAAAAGAAGGGGGAAAAAAAAGAAAGAAGAGGAAAAAATATACAAGATAGCTAAGATAACTGTACTACTATTTTCTATTGGTTTATTGAAAGGAACAGTTAATGCTTTTTTAAATCAATTTTGCATGCCTATAGCTGGTAATCTGAACAACTACTTTGAAGATAACAATATGCAATATAACCATTGCTGATTTCCTATCATCCTGTTTTATAATTCTGTATCATTTTGAATGTTTCTTTTAAATTTTTTATTCTCTTTAAAACAAATTTTAAAAAATAAATAATGTTTTGTTTTTGTTTTTAGTACTACTAAAGAATAAACCTAGAACCCTTGTACTAAGTTACATTCCCAAGCCCTTTTTTACTTCTTTATTTTTAGACAGGGTCTTGCTACGTCACTACATTGCCCAGGCTGGACTTGCCGGGAGGCAACCCTTCTGCCTCTGCCTCTCACTGTTAGGATTACAGGCACGTTCCACATGCCCCATAAAGAAAAATATATTTTTAGAAGTATAATAAAGTGCTGATATAAAACAATGGATGATGATATATCGTGCAGATGCTAACCAAAAGGAATCCAAGTCACTAAATTAATATCAAAGAAGATTCTAAGGCAAAAAGCATTTCTTGAAATAAAGAGGATTTCTTTTGATGATAAAAAGTTAAATTCATCAGAAAGATATATAAATTCCCAATTCTCTATGTACCTAATAACAAAGGCTCAAATATATGATACAAAATATACAGAATTAAAATGAAAAACAATCATTGAGGGAGATTTTAAATCACTACTTCTCATTTTGTAATAGGTAGAACAAAAAAATATAAATACATTTTAAATGTATGTGTGTTCATTTGACCTAAAGGTTACATAAAAACACTATACTCAACAACCTCTGATTAGCCATCATTTTAAGCACACGAAACATTTATAAAAATTAACCATATAATGAATTGAGAAAAATCTTAATTTCAGCATATTAAAACCATAGAGATGCTTTCTGACCTCAAGACAATTAAGTTAAAGCCAATAGAAACAAAACTCAGAAATTTAGTTTAAGCTGAATTTTCCTCATGTTTGTAAATTAACGAATATATTTCTAAGTAATCCATAGGTCAAGTCAGCAATCACAAGAGACGTTAGAAAGTATTTTTAACAAAGCATATCCAAGCTTGTCACATGCACTGCTTGAAAAGAAACCCATGACCTTAAGTAGATATATTAGAAAAGGAAGGCTGAATTCAATGAGTTAAATGTCTGTATTAAAAAGAAAAGGAATTGCAAAAGAGACCAAAGAAAGTAGAAGAAAGGCAATAATAAAGATACAGGTAGAAATTAATGAACTAGAAAAATAAAGACACAGAGAAAGCCAAAAGCCAACTCTTTGGAAAGATTAATATAATAAATTGTTGTGTGTGGTACAATGAATAGTACACAGCGACAGAAAGTACCAAACCAGGGCTGCTTGCAACAATATGGGTATTACAAATGCAATGTTAAGCAAAATAAGTAAGTCATAATGGAATATAAATGGCAGCAATTCATTTAAAGTTCAAAGACAAAACTAAACCATTTCATACAGGGATGTCTTACACCAGTGGTAAAATTCTAAAGAAAAGCAAGGAAGCAAATGCCATAAAAATGAGGCTTGTGGCTACTACTTGTTGGAAGCAAGAGGGTATGACTATAAAAAGCTCCATGAGGGATTCTGACTACACCATAGCTCTTCATTGGGGTCATTTTATGTCATTCACTTTATATTTATTTATTATAATTATCATTCATACATGTTGTATGCATGTTTCCATGTTCCTCTATGTGCTCTATATTTGGCAATAAAGGACATCTTTTTCATTTATTTATTTATTTTTTTAGACAACATCTCACTATATAGTTTGGACTGGTCCTGAACTCAGTATGTAGCTTATGCTTGCCTCAAACTCATGGTGGTCTTCCTGCCTCAGCCTCCTGAATGTGCTCAGATTACAAGGACACCTTGAAACAAACACACACACATGTTGTATCCAATGTATCCACGCATGTTAATTTCATTTTGATTCATCTTACCCACATCGATAAAGCACAGCTTGCATAAATCAAAAATCTTGGACTCATGAGGTAGTTCAAGGCCGCTCCTAAAACATATATACAAATCATAAATGTTATTAAATATATATGTAAAATAAATTTTGACGGAAATGTAGAGAAACTAAAATGTTATTTAGCTTGAATTTGCTTTTAGAAAGTAGCATGGCACTAAACAGAAATCAATGCAAGCACCAGAATGCATAGGGCTCACTCAGCAAGTTGGGGGATTCTCAGGGCTTTTGTTTTGATTTTAACTTAAAACACTCTTGTCTTTGAGTGACCACTGGGGAAACATTCAACAGAACGCCTTTTCTCATGTCTAGAGGTGGCCATTACAGTGTAACACATGCCTCAGAGGAAGTGCCCGGAGCATGAAGGAAGAAGCGGAAGGGTCCGCAGGTCACGCCATCCTGGGGAAGCAGCACAAGAGACTTCCGCGGAAGTTACTCCTGCGCAAAACCCGGGGACCAGGAGGGCGCTGACCTAGTATTGAGGACTACGGTAGACCTAGCTCTTCAGGCTTGGAGAACCATGGGGCAGAGGTCTGGAGAAAAAAGAAAGTGTTAACAGCAAACAAGAAAATGGGGCTGGTTGTAAAGTGCAAAAGGCACAGGGGACAAGAAATGGAAAGTAGAAAGCAAGTTCAAAGGGGGCGGCCTGTTCAAAGGGGGTGGCCTGTTCCCGGAAGGAACAGGGTAGAGCAGATCCATAAAGCCACTGTGTCCCTCCACACATTCCCAGCCGCGTAGGCCTCCTCACCAGCCTTCCTGGAACTCAGACCTGAAAACCCTGGACTCTTCTGTTATACCCTGTACTTTAATTAGTTGTCATGTTGACTGAATCTTTTTTTAAAGAAAATCCTCAATCTAACCAATTTACACCACCCCCTTGCTACCCTGGCCTCTGACCTGAATTATAATACTTCCCTAACCTCTCTTCCGCTCCCTCCTCAGCCCACTTTCAATCTGTTTTCATTACAGCAGCCACAGCAGTCCTATTAAAAACCTCAATCAGCACATGTACCTGCGCTCAAAATCTTCTGTCCTTACAACGGCTAACAAAGCCCTCCAGGACCCAGGACCCAGGACCCTCTATTTGTATCTCTTCCCTCCTCTTTACCATTGATGATGTTCCAGGCTCAGGAGCCTCATCCTCACCTCTGGGCCTTTGCACTTATTGTTGTCTGACCAGATTATCTTCCCTCAGGATTCACACCACCATCCCCATCAACTCCACCTGACCTTTACTTAGAAGTTATCTTTTCAATAAGATCTTTTTCTACCCATTTGATCTAAAAATTGCATACTGGAGGTGTGCCTATGATCCCAGCTATGTGAATGGCCAAGGCAGAAGCATCCCTTGAGCCCAAAAGTTGGACAGAACATAATAAGATTCCATCTCAAAAGTACGTATATACATACATAATGAAGAAAAATTGCATACCCTCTCGACCAACACCAAGCAATGGAATGGCTGGGAATTTAGCTCAGTGGCAAAGCGCCTGCCTGGCAAGCGCAAGGTCGTGAGTTCGGTTCCTGGTACCGGAGAAAAACCAAAAAGAACAACAACAACAAAAAACCTCCAATCAACCAACCAGTGGAAAATTCTGCAAAGGTGGGAAGACAGCCTCACTGTCCAACAGGGTAGCTATTACGTGGCTACTGAGGACAGCAAGTGTGACTGGTATGACCAAAGAACTGAATTTTTTATTGTAACTAATTTAAATATAGTCACACAAGGCTGTCAGCTACTGTTATAAGTGCAGCATCTCTATGCTCGTCTATCTTCCTCTGCTTTTTCCTTACTATTTGTTGGTAACATACTCTGTAATTTACTTATAATTTATTTTTGTATCTTGCTTATAATTTGTTCTTCCTGCTAGAAAGTAAGCTCCACGAGGGGAAAGGGGAAAATCTTTTATTCCCTCTGCTATATTCCTCACACCAAGAACAGTTCCTGGTACACCCTTGCAAAATACTTGTTCAGTGAACAAGCCGAGGAGAAAACCGACAGGTTCTGTGTGGGCACTGGTCTGGGCCTGCTCTGTCAGCTCTCATCTCCTTACCTGTATGTTCATCTGTTCCTCTGGCTCTTTTGTTTTTTGGTTTAACTTGTCCCTCCGCTCAGACACCCGTATCTCGTTTCCCAATGGTGTGCTCATTACTTTCCTCTCAGCCCACTCACTGCTCTGCAGCCTCTTGATTTTGGCTCCTCAGAGACTCTCACAACCCGCCTGGGCTCTGCTGGGCTTTGTTTCAATTAGGAGACTCTGAGCCAATGCATGGCAAGAGGCCCAGGGCAGCCCTGGGTACTGCAGGCAGCTTTTCCATGCTAAACCTCCGCTTTGAGTCTGCCTTGCTACCATGGTTGACAGCTGAGAGGTGCCCTGAAGTAGCAAGGCAGGCCTCAGCCATCAGCTCCACATGCTAACTCATCAGACAAATGACCCATGAGGATAGGCTTCTGGATACTAAAAGATTTTTTTTTTTTTTTGGTCTTTTTGAGACAGGGTCTTGCTATGCAGTTCAGCCTGGCCTTGAGCTCACTTTGTGGCCCAGGCTGGTCTCGAACTTGCAATAATCCTCCTGCCTCGGCCTCCCTCCCAAGTGCTGGGATTAGAGCCATGCGTCACCATGCCCACCTTCAAAGACCTTTTGAGTGTAGACCATCCCTTCCCAGGATACACGCCCATGGTGCCAAGGATGGCTGGGTGTCTATTGCTGACCCGAAAATTCATTCCAGTACATGTACAATGAGTGTGTCCCACTTTCATGAAGGAATGCCTAGTCTTGAGCCAAGGGATAGCGAAGCAGACAGGAGGGAACCCTAGAAAAGTCTCGTTATGACTACTACTCGTTATGATCAATAACGGGTTTCCACTTTGGGGTGTCAAGAATACCCTATTGTGACGGCCTCACACAGACTAGGGAGTAAGTGGAAATTAGAACAGTGAAAACTTTCAGTTTTCTTTCTTTATTAGCTTTGATGACTCATTTAATTTATCGATTTTTGTATCAGCCAGGCACATCCTTTCTGCATAAATGAAGGAACAATGTAAGCCACTTGTAGCACCTAGCATTTAGAAGACACCCAACCAACTGGCTAATAATCTGATGAATAGTCGTGTATATATGACTCCACTGCATAATGTTTATCATAATGAGAACAACCTTTAAAAGTGAATTGTATGTTGAAACGTATTACTAAAATTGAAAATGAAGCACAAGGTAATTCTGTGGATGGTAAAATATTCCCATCTCATTTGACTGAACAGATTATGCACACAAAGACAAGAAACCTAAAGTCTCCTTTAGGGCACCATTTATCTCCCGTTAAACATCAACACGATTACAGCGCAGGATGAGTTTTTTATAGTTTCATTTAGCATCACTTTTGTCATCTAGTGAAATAGCACGATTTCCTTTCTAAGAAAAAGGGCTCTGTGTAGCAAATGACAAGTAGCTGCCATTTCCTCCTGAACAGAATGCTGATTTTGTGCTGGGTGACTGCCCACTGATAGCCCAAGGGGATGAGTCACAGCAGATGTCAGTGTCACTCTTTCAGGACAGTTCTATTTTGAGACTGCCCTGCAGCTAAGACTGGCCACAGGACTGTTCTAGGCAAGAGGCCTTGGCAGAAAAGTCCCAAGGGTTTCTGGGAAATATCTCACTCTCTGATGAAAGAGGCAAGTGCAAGAGGGAGTCTGCTTTGCTCTGCCCCACCCACGTCCTGCCTTTAAATGTGGCCAAGATGCCCAGAGCTCAGCAGCTGTCTCGCCATCTTGAACCAACCATGTCCGAAGCCGCTCCAGATGCCAAGGCAATGGGCAGAACAAGCTGGGTCTGGATGGCATCACTGAGTGGCTGAACTAAGCATTACGGGTGACTCTTGAAATTCTCATTTATTAAAAAATGTGCTTAAAGTTTAAGAAGAAACAAGCTATATCATGTACAGGTAGAAATTCCCTATGATAAATGTTATCATTATATACATCTACAATGTACCAATAAAAAAAGTTTAAGCCTTTGTCTCCTGAATTTTATTTGTAACAAAAGCATTTCCAACTGATGCATAATCTCTTTAACAAATTGTGCCGTGATTGCTCAGACACCCAGTATCTAGCTTTTTAAAACTTTAATTAATTTTATTGGTACATTTTAGGTATATAAAATGATACCATTCATCATAGGAGATCTGTACCTGTACATGATATATCTTGTTTCTTCTTTTTTCTCATTTCCCTCCCCTCCCTTCAACTCCTCTTTTCCTCCTAATTTATAAAAACTTTTCCATTTTTCTTTCTATTCTCTCTTTTTTTGTCCCTTCTAGCTTTATTTCTAATATTTGCCATATATGCTTTATCTTTGTGTGTATTTTCAATGTATATCAAATATAAATAGTAGATATCATGACATGTTACTCCTTCAGCACACACTTCCTACAATTAAGACATTTTCCTCCATCATCGCAATGCTATTATCTCTCCCCAAAACACTAGTAATTCTCTGTTATCATCTGAGAGCTGGTTTATATTCAGGTTTCTGTATTACCCCCACAGTGTTCTTGTGGTCGGAGAGACTTGCCACTTCAGTGGAACAAGTGAGACTTGAGATTTTAAAATTTCCTCTCTCTCTCTCTCTGTCTCTCTCTCTCTGTCTCTCTGTCTCTCCCTGTCTCTGTCATAACCTGAGTCATTATTAGGAAAATAGATGCACCTTGAAACTACAATGTTAAGTGTAATAAATCAGACACACAGGCCTGAATATCAAATAGTTTCTCTTACACGAGAAAAACCAAAGTAGTACAGTTAGAAACAAAGGAGTTGAGACCATAGGCCGTAGACTCAAGGAACCGAACATCTAAGCCCACCACTGCTCTTCCCCTGTGAGAAGGGGCAGGCACCGATGCTACAGTCCTTGTGGTAGTTCCCTTTCCAATAACAGATATTTAAACGTACAAGGAAAAATTGGGTAGATTCTTTAAAGATCCTAAAAAGTTTGCTGGTGATTTCTACACCCTAATAATGGCTTTTGATCTGAACTGGTAA